ATGTATGGAATGTTATAAGAGCTATAAGAACCCCCAATAAAATGATATTTTAAAAAAAGAAAAAAGAAAAAGATTTTTTTGTATATTTTTTATCTTAATTTTCATCAAATAGAATTTTAATAAAGAAGTTTACCTTGGTGTAAGACAGGGAAAAAAATGATAAATTATCAAGGGTTCATGAGGGAGGGAGGAAAGGTGGGAATGAGCTGATACCAAGGGCTCAAGTAGAAAGAAAATGTTTTGAAAATAATGATGGCAACAAATGTACAAAGGTGCTTGACACAATGGATGGATGGGTGGATTGTGATAAGAGCTGTAAGAGCCTCCAATAAGATGATTTTTAAAAGAAAGAAAGAAAGAGATTCCCCTTGGCTGCTGGCGCGAGGTGACTGGGATCCGTTAGAGGACGGCTGTTGCACTCCCACGGTGCTCATTCCTCCCCAGGAGCCAGCATGTACCATGCGGGAGGCTGTTCAGTCACAAACGCCCTTGGCTTCAGCCTCCCAGGACAGCCTGTTGTCAGCCTCAGGGTGTGTCCAGTAACAGCCTCCTCTGCTTCTGCCTTACCTTCCGCCCATGTCAACAGAGGAAGCACCCCTGTCGCCTCCCCATTCCCTTATTGCACCCAAACCCACCGTGGCTTTCCAGTCTCATCTGTCTTGGAACAACTCTTCAAGAGCAAGCAGAGCTGCCCCCGAGGTTTCCCGGGCTGAGGTGTTTGCCCAAGCAGACTGGTCCATCTTCCTTCCTGCCAGGTGGCTGACGGTTCAGATGCCTGCCCTTTTTGTTAGCAGCTGTGTGCTTTAATCATGGCAACCCCTGGATGCCTTCCTGTCCTGCACACACAGCCTCAAGGGGAGTGATGCTGCTGTGGGTTTGAGAGAACCTCGTCTCCCCCCTTTCTTCTCTGTCCCCCCTCCGTCCCTGTCCCTCCATCATACTGCCGCTGCCACTGAGCTCCCCTCCACAGACAGAGCCTCCTGGATTGCCCTGCTGCTAGGAAGTCACCTCAGATGATCTGTAGTGTCAAGCCCAGCCTCATCCTTTCGTGAGGTCCTTGGCGGGACAGACAGATCCACAGGTGTCAGGTTTTGTACAGAAGAGTTTGGCCCCTGTACAACCTGGAACTGCTGGATAGGGTCATTTGGAACACAGAGGTGATGCGGGGGTACGTCCATGGGTCAGCATTGACCGTGGGTCACTCACTGAAAGAGCTGGGTGCGCCTGCTGCCACGTGGACTGGCCACTGATTTCATCTCAGTGGCCAATACTGTTAAAAGTATGTTTCCCACAGCTGTCCTGCATGCGTGTACCATGTCTCTAGCGAGAGCCAGAAACCCACTAAATAGTACACGAAACAGTCTCTTTAAACCTGGAATCTCCCTTCTCAGCTGTGCACAGCAATGAGGTGGGCACCCCCAGCGTTGCTCCGTAGGGATGTTACAGTGATGTGCCCAGTCACATGCCTCCCTCCATCGTCACAGCTCAGAGTGTGTGCCCGACCCACCAAACATCTCAGGACAGCCCACCCCTGCTCTCACCACACCCAGCGCAGACACTGTTTGTAACTTCTCCGTCTCTCCTGGTTTCAGACGCTCATACGGGGAGATGCGGGGCAATGCGCTGGAGAAGAAGTCCAACTACGAAGTGCTGGAGTGAGTACCATGTCTTGGCGCCACCCCCAGGCCAGACCCGCACACCCGCTTCTTCACACGCCCGTCTTTCTTGGCTGGATAAAAACGAACCTGTTCCAAAATACCTGTGTGGGAGAGGGACGGAGTTAGGAAGTCAGAATTCTCGATGGCGTCACTGTCATGGTGCCCTTTCAGATCTGTTGGTCAGCGTGAGGCCTCTGGGTCTCTAGATGCCATCGTCGTTGAAGTTATGTTAGCCAGCGGCACCTTCCTTTTCAGAGTTCTCACCAAGTCCACTCGGGGTTTCTCTCTCCAAGAGGGGTAAGTGGTTGACTTAGGCTTCACATACCCCCAGGGGAGAATCTCTGAGCACTTGTCCGATAACTGAGTTGATTTGCATGTCAGATGGTGACATTGGGAATCTGGATGTCCTGCTCTGCGTCCTGCAGACAGTGGACTCGGCAGAAGATCGTGGATAGGGGAAAACAGCTGGTCACAGGAGGAGGACAGGTTGTTTGGGACATGTTTGTGTGCAGGTCTGAGACACCCGTGCTCTTCAGACTGGCACGCTGGTTCATGGCCCCCTTGTGGAAGCACTTGTGCCAGCCTCCGTCAGAGCCCCTGGCGTCAACCGCTGCCCCTCAGTGGGAGCAGGCTCCCTGTGTGGGGCTGCGGTGGGCTTCTAAAATGACATACACCACTGGGTTTCCTAATTTGCTCTTTTTTCTGTTGGGCAGTTCCTAGCGATGACAGCTTGTCTGTTGTTGATCTCTCCCTGGCAGTGCCCCTGTCACCAGAGATGGGCATTCACGCCTGCACACTCAGTCTCCATGAGCACCCTTCGAGTTGAAGGTGTGCACACGCTTGCGTGTGATGAAAATGGAGCGGTGCCGGGCGTGTGCCC